TTGTTTTTCTTAAATCATAACTGTACAATGATGCATTTATGGAGTTCAGTGTACTGATTTGATATACAATGTGAAATGCTTACATTGAACTGATTAACACATCCATCACAATTATACTCTTTTCTTAGTAGTTTTGAAATGTACCATTGCATCTTGCATATTAGGTGAGGTCCCCCCAAATATGCTCCCTGCTCCTGCCTCCCTCCTCCCCTCCTCTCTCTCTGTCCTTCGCTTCTACTTTCTGGACTATAGTTATGTTTAACCATTTGTATGAATGTGTAGGCGATTATGTATTGATTTCATACTATTATTGAGTACATTGGATACTTTTTCCCCCCATTCTTGAGATACTTTACTAAGAAGAATATATTCCAACTCTATCCAGGTAAACATAAAAGATGTAAAGTCTCTGTCTTTTTATGGCTGCATAGTATTCCATGGTATACATATGCCCCAATTTGTTAATCTATTCATAGATAGATGGGTACTTGGGCTATTTCCACGTTTTGGGAATTATGAATTGGGCTGCAATAAACATTCTGGTGCAAATGTCTTTGTTATAAAATGATTTTTGATCATCTGGGTATATTCCCAGTAGAGGAATTGCAGGATCAAACGGTGGCCTACTCTTAGTTCTTTTCAGTATTCTTCAAACTTCTTTCCAAAAAGGTCATATTAGCTTGCATTCCTACCACCAGTGTAGAAGTGTTCCCTTCTCAGAAGTCTCCCTGACCTCTCCTCTCCTGTCTCTGGTCTGGATTAAGTTCCCTTATTCTGTATTCCTTTATCATCTTACGGATATAGGTGATATATGTATATTAATGCCTATGTTGTAGGCACTCTCACTGGAAGACTTGGGGATAGAAATCACATCTAAGGGATTTTTGTGTTCATAATGCCTAATGTACTTTTATTGAATTATCATCTGACCAAATGACTAAATGATTGATTTTATTTCTAGTGTCAACTTTTCTGGACACTGTAAACATAAGACCAGTGTGTATAATTTTTTTTCTATTTGAGGGCTAAGATGTTTGATCAATAATTGTAAGACTAAAAGACATCGACAATCTTTTATCTCTTTTGTCATATAAGCACCAGAGCCAAACTGTTCTCACCCATAATTTACCCCATTTGAAAATACAGTAACAACATGTACATTTTAACATGTGTTAAACAGATTGCACATCTTTATTCTTTAAATATGTATTTGCATAGAACTTGGAGTTTTAGGTGAATGTTAACCTTTTAAACCCATTCTATTTTGAAAGAAATCTAATACTTTGTTATCACACATTGGGATAAAAAATCGTTCTGTGACTTTTTTGTGTTGCTAATGTTGTGTTTGATCAGTAAGATTTTAATTACTTAAAATATTTAATTAAAGCATTTTTTAAGCATGTGGCATAATCTTAAAAGTTAACTAGTTACAAGAGTAATCAAAATGAAAACAGAAATATAGATTTATTTTTTTGCCAGTGTCAGCACTATTTTAATTTTCCAAAGTATAAATTTTTATCTTTAAAGGACTTATTTGTTTGAACCTTATAGCCTATAAAAAACAAAGGCCCTTTTTTTTTTTTTTTTTTTTGTGGAAGTCTCACTTTGTCACCCTGGGTTGAGTGCTGTGGCATTATCATAGCTCACAGCAATCTCTTGGGTTCAAGCCATTCTCTTGCCTCAGTCTCCCGAGTAGCTAGGACTATAGGCACCTGTCACAAACCATGGCTAGTTTTTCTATTTTTCAGTAGAGATGGCATCTCAATCTTGCTCAAACTGGTCTTGAACTCCTGAGGTAAAGCGTCCGCCCACCTCGGTCTCCCAGAGTGCTAGTTTATTTTGTTGGTGAGACTTGGTCTCACTCTGCTGCCCAGGCTGGAGTGCAGTGCCTAGATCATAGCTCACCGTAGCCTTCACTCTTAGGCTTAAGCGATGCCCCCTTCCTCAATCTTGGTCTATAAGGGTTCACCACAGCACCCAAACAATTTTTTAATGTTTTATAGAGATGGGGTCTCTCTATTGCCCATGCTGAAAAAGTAGGCTCTTAAGGTAAAAGCTAACATCTTTAGTAGGTTTAAGAATAATATTTCAAAATGTATAATAGATGTGTATTTGGAAGTTTGTTTTTTAAAATACTGAAATACGGAGAAGAATGAAGAAAGATATAAGATGCCATTTACACAACAGAGAATACATCTAATATATAAGAGGTCATTTTCATTAAAAAGGTGTGTTAGGGACTTTTACTTTAAACATAAGGTATGTAAATGTTTCATGATGTTTTCTAGGCACTACAGACTCAGCAGACCTGCTTGTTAGTGTGGTCTTGACTTGCAGAGTAGGTTCTGTGCCTTTCGGTGTTCCCATGGCTTCTGCTGCTGTTGCTGCTGCTTTTTATTTATAAAGGTTGTCACACGTTACTGTAATTACCTCTCCTGTTTTCTGGCTCAGCTCTGAGGTTTATGAGAGCTAAGAATTGTGGATGTTTGCTTGCTACTATATAATGAGTGCTTAATATTTATGGAATAAATGATGTAAACAAGCAGAAATGTGGATTTTTTTTTATCGCTAAAAGTAATTGTTTTGGTTCATGGTGATGTTTAAGCACAGTAGATCTTGAAATGCATTAATAAATAATTAAAGAAAAATTGAATTAGCTTTAATATCAAGATTATTTTTGTCCAACTCATTGTATAATTAGGAACTAGAATTACCTAAAATATTTATTTGGAATGCATTATTTATCTTTTTGGCATAATCATTTACTATCTGCTGTTTAGGAAATTATTTTGTACTTAAATCGTGTTCTTTGATATTTGTTCTATGAATTATTTAATTTATAATTATGAATTCTTCATACAAAATAATACAACTATATTGTAAATATTTCACAGATTCCTTAGGAAGTAAAAATTCATATTTTTTCAGCTTCCACTGGAGAAAGCAGAAATTCTTATTTTTCAAAGTTGGTAATACAGGTTAAATTTCCACATGGATAGAGGGACCTGCTAACTCATCTCCCAAAGTTTGTAAGCTGCTGGAGATCTCTTTGGCCTTTGTACTAGCCTTACCACTGGCCAGGTGGGAATGGGGCCTAAGAGTGCTGCTTATTTTGATTTTAACACTGTTGCTTATTTTTACACTAAGTCAAGTGCAGATATAATTTTCATTTATTTCTCATGGTGGGTACAGGTTGGTTGAAACATTTAGAACTAAGACTCCTGGATAACAAAGGAAATTAATGTGGAAAGTAAATTTATTTTACAGTAAAAGAGGCCTCACTCTGGCCTCTGACATGTCTGTGAACTCCTGTCCTTCTATTCTATCCCTTTCTTACTCATTTTTATCACAGTAGTCTCCTTACTGATACTTGGACCTTTCTGCATGTCCCTGTTTTACTGTCTTTGAACCAGCTATTCTGTTGTGCCCCATATATGTGAGTGACTAACTCCTCCTTTAAGGCCTTGATTAGATTTTGCTTTCTGGATGAGGTCATTATTACCCTAGATATTATACCCCCATCTCCACTCCTGGGCCTCTTTACCCTGCTCTGCTGTATTCATTTTATCCTTAGTACTTAATCATCTCTAATAGACTATATAATTTATACTTGACTAATTTATTAATGGCTGTCTCTTGCTACTAAAATGTAAGTTTAAATAAAGAGTTTCTTTGTTTTTGTTTTTTTGTGTGTGGCTGTCATTACTTTATCAGACATATATGTCAAGTACTTAGAACTCTATTGTGTGTGTATAAAGGATGGTCAGTGATTATTTGTTTAATAAATGATTAATTTGGCTTTTGCAAGACTGAGTTTGTTCTTCAGCTTGTGATTCATAACTGGACTGCCTCACACCTCATCTCTATCCTTTCTCTCTGTTATATAGACCCTTTGAATATATCTGGAATTTTTTTTTTAAACTCCAAATCCGAGAGAGTCAGGCCTAGAAAGATTAAAGAGCACTCTTGACTGCCGTCTAAGTTGCTTTTAACCCTGCTTGGGATGTTTGCCAATGTTTGTACTTTGGCAGAAATCCTGGTACACCATAGGAGTGTGGCACCTATTCTGTGGTCTTAAGATGTGGCTGTGTTAGGCTGTGGCTTTCTCCCTGTATTCCCAAGGCAGTGCTCATTCCCAAATCTATGGTGGTAATGGGCTATCTCACCTATTAAGTTTTGCAAAGTTCTAGCCTGGAACAGAAAAGAGCTTTAGTCACCAAGTAATATTACTAATTATTACTAGTCACCAAGTAAATAGAACCAGTATAATACGTTTGTTCCCTTATACTTGTCCCAGTTTTAAGTTCTTAGCAAGTAGGTAAATGAGGTTTTAGTTCTAACATGTAACTGATTTATTATGTGACCTTTGACAAATTATCTTAATTTGTATTTCCTCAGTTGTAAAATTGAACTGAATGGTGTTTTTTTTTTTTTTGGTCCCTATGGAGTTGAGCTGTATAATCAGAAATATTTAAAAATATTAGCACTTAAATTAATAACCATGTTTATTATATATGATTTATATTTGGTATTTTAGGTGCTGTATACTTAAAAGCAGTTGAGGCTAGGACCTAGCAAGAATTCTTTTCTTATCTACTTTCATAAGATAAACATTTGTGATAACAATATGGAATTCAGTTAACTAGAAAATTAATTTGAGTCTCTGGACATGGTAAACACCTTAAGGTTAGAGTCTTTCTACTTAACCTCTTTTTCTCTTCCTTCTTTCTCTTATTTCTTCTTTACTCTTTTTATTATCATTTGCACAATTTTACTTTATTTACTTAAAGAACAAAAGGATGATCCTTTAAAGGTATTTTTCATGAATTTTGCTTTTGAATCTATGTGTTATGTATCATTTTACCTACTGAGTTATCAGCAGATTATCTTGTACTTAGTATGTGCTTCTTAAATGTTGATTGAATGAATGAATTTTCTTTTATTTTTCCTGAATACTGGATTAACAAAGAAAGTGATTTTTAAATTTTTATTATTTTAAGAAAGGTGACTCTTGTGATGGTGGGACTCGATAATGCTGGTAAAACAGCAACGGCAAAGGGAATCCAAGGAGGTAAGCTCAAAATATTCATATGCTTTCTGAACTCTATTAAGTTATTCTGAATTGTTTACTTATTTATAATAAATTGCTTTATTACCTATTAACAATAATAATTGGGTATAGATGGTGTGCACTCCATCAATCTTAGTAATGATTGATGTGGTGAATAGGTTCTGGCTTAATGCTACCAGCCTATGACCATGTTTTGGATTTGAATAGATGCAGGGATGCAGAGGTTCCTTGAGATCTTTGATCAGCTGGGAGGGATTGTTTCTGTGCTATAGACAAGAGGAAGGAAAAAAAAATGACATGCCCCTGCCTTTAAGGATACTAAATTTCTACTTATATTCGAAGTCAGAATTTAGTCACAAGTCTGTGCTTAGATACAAGGGAGGTAGAAGTAATAGGTCATTAAATCGGAATAGTCCAATTTCAAACCAAAAGTTTATTATATCTCAAACAAGAAGCAGTACAATTAATTAAAGTATGCGCCTAAACTATGTGCCTATACTGTCGACACGGTTTTGCCCCCTTAATGGTAAGTTGTGTACACCAGCACTGAAGAAGCCTACAGAGTGAGTGGCAGTTAAATGGCAAAAGGCGTTTACCATAACTTGTTGAGAACTGGATATGGTTCCTTGCAAGAAGTGGTAGTTGTTGGTGCGGGGTCTGGTGAATATGGTGGAAGACAGAAGTTTCTAAGTCCACCTTCTGTAGTTGAGCAGTGTTGTTTATGGGACAACATTATCTTGCAAGAAGATTGGCCTGTCTCTGTTGACCACTCTCGGCTACTTAATCACAAGCATCCTCATGTCATCTGTCTGGTTGCACTAGACATCTGTTGGGATCCATTGGCCAGGTTTCATGAAGCTGTAGTGGATAATACCAGAGCTGGACTACCAAAGAGACACCATTAGCTTTTTTTGATGATGAATATTCAGTTTTGAACCATGTTTTGGCACTTCTTTATCCAGCCATTCTGCTGAGTGCTTGAGATTGTAAAAAAGAATTCATTTTCATCACATGTAACAATACATTGGAAATGGTTTGTCTTTATGTTGTGACAGCAGAGGTAAGCTTTGGGATGATTTATCTTCTGACATTGTTTAAATTCATGCAGCACCCATCTATCCAGCTTCTTTACTTTGCCAGTTTGTGTCAAATGGTCCAATATCGTTGGAATAGTAAGGTCAAACCTTGCTACTAATTCATGCGCTGGTTGAGAAAGATTTACTTCCACTACAGCTTTCAGCTCATCATTATCCACCGTGGTTTCAGGTTGCCCATGTGGCTCATGTTCAACATTAAAGTCACCAGAATGGAACTTCTCAGATCATCCGCATACTGTGCATTCATTAGCCACGTCCATTCTGAACGCGTCAATGATATTTTGAGCCATCTGTGCTACATTGGTTTCACTATGGAACTCATATTTGAAAATAACATGAATTTTTAAGTTATCCTTTGGCTTCACAAAAATTGCTGTAAAAAAGTTGAGAAGATAATCACAAGCCAAAATGTGTGTTTGAAGGAATGAGGACATACCTTCACAATAATCATCCCAAAATACCCCCGGAAGTGTTAAAGTGAAATGTCCGAGATATCAGCTGTCAAACTTTGTACTTAAGGAAATTGGAGATTTCTTACTTAATAACCTAATAGCCACCATAGTTCTCATTACATCTCTTGATGCCATTTACCAATATTACATCTCACTGGATGCACTTAGTTGGTTAGTCTGAGCGTTTTGTATTGGAATATAGCAGTATCTATACAAGTGAGTTTACTGGGTACTATATGTCCCCAATCAGGCATCTTTTGAATTGGAAAAAAAAGTAACATGTGTATGTTTCTAAAAACTGATGATTACAACAACATATTATGCGTATCAAATAGTGGGAGTGTTATCTACTAACACCTTGCAAAATGTTTTCTTCTTTTGGAGAGAACATTTTGTTATTAAAAATTCTACTGTGTGACAGTAGATGCAAGTTATGTATTATCTGTGGAGTCTTCTAAAGCTTCCTTCGTAGCCCTCGTGCTATCTTCTAGGTTGTATCTTCTCAGAGCAGCACTCACTGTCACCATCTAAGCGAGGAGTCAACAAACATTTTTCTATAAAGAGCCAGATAATAAAGTTTTTAGACCTTGGTCCATTGAACTACACATCTGAGTATGAAAACAGCCATAGACAATATGCAGACAGCATATAAATACGTTTGACTGTGTTATGATGAAGTTTATTTATGGACACCAAAATTAACTTTTCTTTCTTTTTTTTCTGAGACTGAGTCTCACTATGTCGCCCTCAGTAGGGTGTTGTAGCATCATAGCTCACAGCAACCGCAAACTCTTGGGCATAAGCGATTCTCTTGCCTCAGCCTCCCAAGTAGCTGGGACTACAGGCACCCACCACAACACCTGGCTATTTTGTTGTTGTTGTTGTATTTATCATTGTTGTTTTTAGCAAGCTTGGGCCAGGTTCGAACCCGTCAGCTGCAGTGTATGTGGCCAGCACCCTAATCATGGATCTATGGGCACCGTGCTCAAAATTAACTTTTCAATCATTTAAAAATGTGAAACACATTTTTAGCTTGTGGACCATACAGAAACAGGTGAAAAACCAGATTTGATCTGCAAGTTATGACACCATATCTAAAGTTCTTTTCTTCTTCCTTTTCTTCAAAGCCTTGTCAGGGGAGTAGGCACCCAAGAATCCGCTAATCAGAATATCTAATTTGTTGTGTGTACTTGGACCATCTTTCTGTTAGTTCCTTTCTTTTCTATGTTCCACTTCCCTATGGCCATGAGTCCCTTTTTATGAATCTAGGAAATGCTCAAAATATCACATCATAAATCAAAAGTCAAGGCTGCCACAACTTTGGGCTCCCCTCTGCTCTATTTTTGTTCATCTCATATTTATTTTGCAGCCTATCTAATGATTGAATAATATTTTCTTTGAATTGTTTTAAGATTTTAGTTATATGGAATCTATAGAAAATTACTTGAAGTTTTCTAAATTAAACCTTCTTAGACCTTTTATATTTTTGTTTCTATTATTTCCACTTACTAGACTTACTAGAGAGAATATCTGCTTACCTTTTAAAACATATTTTTGTCATATAGTCTCTTTCATAAAGTTTGTTTTTATTCTCTAGCCGTTCCCAGACATTACCACCTTGATCAATGGAATTGACCATGTCCTCTTTTTTGGCCTACTCTTACTTATCCTTAATTGTACCACAACTTAATTATATTTTGTTTGTGTATCTCTCCACTTCTTCATACTAAATTCTCCAAGGGCAATTTTGTTCATTTTGAAGTCCCAGTTGATTAGGTCATGTCCCTGAGTGTGGTAGGCAGTCTTCTTAAAACGTCCCTTCCCTGGCTTCTGTTTTTCTACTTGTTTTTGGTTCTTCTCTTAACTCTTGGTTATTCCCCTCCCCCACTTTGGTGTTTGCTAGTTTCTTTTCAGATATGTCTGCTTCCTCTCTAACTGTATTACAGTCACCTAATTCCAAACTCTTAGAGTGTCTTTTGCCTATTATGTCATAGTAGCTACTTAATATAAAAGGAGCACCCTACCAGGAACTTCAGTTCTCTAAGTCAATATTTTTCTTCATGGCTGTCAAAGTGAATGTATTAGTTGTACATAGGTTTAACTAATCTAACAGAGAACTAAAATAATAGTGGTTCAACAAGGTAGAAGTTTGTTCTGGTAACACTGTAGGGGAAAGTAGCTAGGACTGGTATGGCAGCGCCATGCTGTTAGGAACTCAGTTCCTTTTCCTATTTGCTTTGCCATCACTAATGTCCCCCTTCACCTGTATGTTCTAAGGCAATTTATTACAACATGTAACATTTCAGCTGGAAGGAAGAGGTAACGGGTAAGGGGAGGGCATTCTTTTCCTTTAAGAGCATGAATCAGAAGCTGGTACAACACTTCAGTTCATAAACCATTGCCTAGAAGCAATGATGTTCTGGGCACATACCGTACTTGCTCATATTGGCTCATATCAACTCGTGAGAGCCAGTTGTGCATATATCTCTTCCTAACTCTATACTCAGGTACTTCACATTGCTAGACTGAAATTGGTCATGATGGTCATACAGGCATGTCCAAGTTACAAACATCTGACTGATATATGACTCACACTTACAACAGAAGCTATTAGAGATAATAGGTAAGTGTACCTGTTCCAGCTTACATACAAATTCAACTTAAGCACAAACCTATAGAACCTGTCTCATTCATAACTCAGGGACTGCCTGTGTTTAAACAATGGAAATTTGCAGAGTCTACATATCAGGGTTCCCCCTTTCCAGGTCAGTTATTAAATATTTAACAGCATACCAGTAGCAGAACCTCTTCTCATGGCCACCGCTACTTGTTGTAGAAGCTGGAGGTTGTAGTCTATCCTAAATAGTCGTGTACCTAGATTAAAAATCTAGGATTCTCTGACTGTCCAGTAAGGAACTATTGATATTTTGGTTGTGAAAATTCTTTTTCATGGATTGGTCCTTAGCATTGTTAGCTATTATTACCATGTCTTCATTATATTGTAATTATTTGTTTAAATATATTTCCCCAATAGAAGGGCTGTATAAAATCAGGTCTTCTTAACCTTGGTATTTCTAGAATCTTGCATAGTACTTAACATATAGTATGATATTTACTGATTATGTGTTTGCACTTTATCTTGGACTTTCTAGGGATTGTTTCACCACATTTTACTAAAATTGTGTGTGTGTTTGTGTGTTTGTGTGTGTATGAGACAGGGTCTTGCACTATTGCTTCAGCTATATTGTTGTAATGGTATTATCATAGCTCACTGCAACCTCAAATTCCTGGGCTCAAGTAATCTACTTGCCTCAGCCTCCCTAGCAGCTAGGAGTACAGGCATGAACTACTCAACCCAGATAATTTTTCTGATTTTTGTACAGATGGGGTCTCACTGTGTTGCTCAGGCTGGCCTGCAATTTCTGGGCTCAAGTGATACTCCTGCCTTGGCCTCCCAAAGTGCTAGAATTATAGGTGTGAGCCATTACACTTAACCCTTTATTGAAATTCTCAGGATTGGGGACCATGTATCTTTATACTCATAGTTCTTGCATGATGCCTCACCTGTAACAGGCTCTCCCTCAATACTTGATTATAAGGAAGCGGTGGGGAACTTGCTACCTTGGGGCACATGTGGCCATCTGGATCCTGAGTGCGGCCTTTTGACTGAACCTAAATTTTACAGGATGGATTCTTTAAATAAGGGGATATGTTCTATAAAGTTTAAATTCAGTCAAGATGCCATAGTTGGGGGTCTCAAGGGCGACATGTGGCCTTGAGGCCACAGGTTCCCTAGCCCTTAAGAAGATACAATATGGGCTCGGCACCTGTGGCTCAAGCAGCTAAGGCGCCAGCCACATACACCTAAGATGGCGGGTTCGAATCCTCAGCCCAGGCCCGCCAAACAACAATGATGGCTGCAACAAAAAAAAACAACAACAAAAAAAATGGCCGGGCGTTGTGGTGGGCACCTGTGGTCCCAGCTACTTGGGAGGCTGAGGCGGGAGACTCGCTTGAGCCCAGGAGTTGGAGGTTGCTGTGAGCTGTGATGCCATGGCACTCTACCCAGGGGGACAGCTTGAGGCTCTGTCTCAAAAAAAAAAAAAAGAAGATACAATATGGTAGAGGTGAAAGTGATCATGGAAATAGGAAGGGATCATCAGAATAGGCTTTACAGGGGGAGTTGTGCTTGAACATTAAGTCATAAGTCTTGAAACAGAAATGCTAGGTAAGAATCAGAGGAAAGAGTAGAGGGAGATTTTGAAATCCCAGAGACCTTCATTAGAGTAGGCTTTACCTCCAATTTTGAAAAACATTCCCTAATCTTTTATAGGGAATTTGTGTATTGGGAATACTGCTATCATTTTATCTGTGATTACATTTATCCCTCCATCTAAAGTATTGTTCTCCCATCTGTTATATTTATGTAGCTTTCAGGACTTCACTCATGATTCACTTCTAATCTGAAGGCTTTTTAGGGGATAACTTGCCCCTCTCTCTTTACCCTCATCCTCTTGAATTCCTTCACACGATCCTCCCCAGGTGTATAGAACATACACATTCTGTGTTATTCCCATTACTATTCTGTCTGTCTCTGTTGCACTGTATGTTCCCTGAGAATAGTGACTGCATCTGCTTCTTCTATATCCTGAGACCTGGTAAAGTCCATGTGCCAGTGTTCAGTCCCTACTAGGTCCCCTTTTCCGACTTCAGCATAGTTGATTTGTTTTCACTGATGATTTCCAACAATTCATTCTGAAAGCCAGCTGCCTATTTGATCCATGGAAACCAGTTCTGAGTAGGAGTAGGCCAGATCTACATATTTAAATGTCTACAGTAGTCCTATTTCTGGAAAGTCAGTTTGCTTATATAAAGTCTAATTGCCTTTTTTTCCTTTGTAAACAATGAACGTATTAGCAAAAATGCGATTTATAATGGCTTTTAACTTTCTTGGGAGCTGTATAAAGGGCAATAAGGTGCACACCAGATGAAAATGTTGTATGGCAAGTCTGTTTTCAGTCATTCTTGAGGTTAGCAAATACCTTTCAATCTTTGTAATAGCAAATGTTTGCTAAATGTGGGAACAAGACCTCCTAAATCAGTATTATTCCATAGAACTTTGTGTATTGATGGAAATGTTCTAGACTGACATTGTCCAGTAGGATGGACTACTTGCCACAAGTGGCTTTTGGGTACTTGAAATATACCTGATGCAACTGAGGAATGGAATTTTAAATTTTATTTTAATTTATTTAAATCTGAAAAGCTTCATGTGGCTTGTAGCTACTGTCTTGACCATGCAGTTCTCAATCTACTAAGTTATTAGTAGATTCCAGTGATGAAGAGAAGATGGAAAAGACAAACACGAAGCTTAAATTCTTCTCTATAATCATGGAGCCAGCAGGTTCCATTACTCTTCCATGATTCCCCTCTTTTCTATTCCTTTCTTTTTATTTTCATACCTCTTTTAGCAGTGGCTGTACTCTCACTTCCAGTCTAGAGACTTTTGCAAAAAAAAGCACTACTTTAATTAACTTAGTTATATTATTGGGCTTCCAACTACCTTCAGTGTCTCCTCATACTCTATCTTCAAAGCTCTCCTCATCTGACTTCAGTCTGCATTCGTAATCTTAAAGACTTGCTGCAGCCTCTATGTGTAGTTGTTGGTATTTTTTGACTTTTTCATTTCCCTTACTTAGATTGCTCTTCTGTGTGTTTAGCTCCTACCTAGCTTTAAGGCCTAAGTTCTATCTCTCCTAGGAAGTCTTGCATGACTCTCAGAGATCTTTTACTGTCATTACCATTCCTTCAGAGTTACAATCATATACATCCTGTACTTTGTTTATGTTGTTATTTTTGGAGGTCAAAAAAATTTAATTATAAATACATTGGAACATCTAAAACATGTTCCAACAGAAAGAATGAAATCGACTTTCTGTTTGTAAGCTGCTCTCAAAAGCCTCTTTATTGTAAGTATAATTTTAATTCATCTAACTAAAAAAGAGTGGTCTTTCTCTGTAGCTTCTCTCTCATTCTTTGATTCTTCTATTCTTAAATATTTATGGTTTTCTTTATAACTCCACAGAAGGTGTAACAGTCCCTGGGGATGACTTTGGTGTTGGAGGCTTGACATGTTTATTATTTGTAACTTGGAGAATAGTAATAAAGGCAAGCATTCATTTGTTCATTTATTCAACAGAAACTAAGTATCTATCACATGCTAGGTGCTGGTATTATATCAGGGGAAAAAAAGAACAGAAATTGCAGTCTTCATGGAGTGATAATTATAGTTGGATATTTTATAGTATGTAGCCTTGTTCTAAACCAGTATGCAGACATGTAATGTTTATTGCATAAGCAAATAAGAAGCATCTCACTCAGTGCTAAAGTAAGACTAATAACACTTTTTGTGTCATTAATGTTATAAAGTTAAACTAATGTTATTAATTTAAAGTCTAAAGATCGTTTCTTTTGTATCCTTTGAAACAGAGTGCCCTGAAGATGTAGCTCCTACTGTTGGATTTTCCAAAATTGACCTTAGACAAGGAAAGTTTGAAGTTACTATCTTTGATTTGGGAGGAGGAAAAAGAATTCGGGGAATCTGGAAGAATTATTATGCAGAGTCCTATGGAGTGATATTTGTTGTGGATTCCAGTGATGAAGAGAGAATGGAAGAGACAAAAGAGACAATGTCAGAAGTACTAAGACATCCTAGGATATCAGGAAAGCCTGTATTGGTGTAAGTAACGGTGTCAGGGTGCACGCTGGGGCAGAAACCTTGGCCAGTAAAGAGATTTACCTGTTAGAAAATACGGAGTGAGATAAGATTAGTCATTCCTTGGTATAACAAAATGTATGGTATTTTATTAACTGTGAGTTATTAATATACTGAGGCCTTGTTATAATACCTTCCAGAGAAATAAAGGTTAAGACTACATTATAAGCAAGCTTTATAATTAGATCTCCTGGATATTCAAATATAACCTCTTTGTTTTATTTGATAATTTATTTTTCATTGACTTTTGCATTTTGAAATAGTCTATTAAAAAATTCTAGCACAGTTTTCTCTTTTAATAACTTCTAGTTTTCCTTTGTCCTTTTATTCTTTGGGTATTCATTCAAAATTTATTTAAATGGTTTATTTTTATAATACCACATTGATTTCCCAATTTTTAGTTCTAGATTTCCATATTGAACATAGGATCTGTGGCATTATCAACTTAGACATATGTTTATATCATTTGTTCAAGTGCCTAAACATTTTTTAAACTAAGTGACAAAGGACTTTTGTACTACTGATCCTCATAGCATTTATGCATCGTAAACACCAGATGGTGCTATAACTGTGAGACATAGTACAGTGAAAAGTAGTTTAAATGGCTCCTTAATTTGGAGTAAACTGAATGTTTGCCTTTGGCAGCCGGTCCCTTCTCCCATGTTCTTGTGATTCATGATTAGGGATTGAAAATAAAAAATCAACCTATCATGTGGGTAGGTGAAAAACTGTAAGTAGTTTCTCAGTGGTTCTCAGTAGCAATGATAGGCAGTTTGGAAGTCCTAACTAAAAAAATTATAACTTTATTGCATCATTAGTTGGTAAAGCTTATACTTTTAAATTTTTACATATTTAGTTAATTAGAGAAGTTATTTGATTTATGTAATCAATTCTTACCTTTTTTAAATCAGAAGGAAAATTTTAAGAAAGATATATGAAGAGGGAACTTCATTGATTAAATTGGTCTGAGAATTGTGTTTAGTCTACATTAAGTAAAAACTATTTCTAGACTAAAGAAAAAAATACATGAATGACTTTTGGTCATTTGTGAAATAATGCTATTTGCTTGTTTTTTTTAACCAAATAGGTATTTATTTCATTCATTTTTGTTTACTCCTTCATGCAGTCACTGATTCATACATATATTTATTAATTTAACAAATTAATGAATCGAACCTACCTCATTTACTATGAGTCAGGCATTATTTTGGTGATAGGGATGCAGTTGGGAACTAAAACAACAAAAATATATGTATGACTTCTGGAACTTCTATTCTAGAGGCTGAGATACACAATAAATGTAAATAATAAATTATATCCTATATTAGATGATAAGTGTATTGAAAGCAATGAAGCAACTAAAACGTTATCAGGAAGCCTCTGGTGGTGATGGTGAAGACAAGGTAGTGTTGGTCTTATAAATTAACATGATCATCAAAGGCCTTTTTGGGAAGCTGACATTTGAGGTGAGGGAGTCAGTCATGCAGATATCTGTAGAAAAGCCCTGAGGTAGGCACATGCAATTGTTAAGTGACTACAGCGATTACTGATAATGAAATCAATCTGTCAGCAAAATATCTGCTTTCACTTCTATCACCTCTCTTGGCTAGTAAAGTTCCTGAATAGAAAAAAGTTATATAACTTGGGTGACTGCTTCACCATTATAATCTCATGGTCAGTGAGAACTCACACACATGAGATTTAATTATAGATGGTATAGTATGTTTATGAAATATAGAATGATTTAACATTTGACAAACCACAGAATTTTTATCAAGAAAGTAAATTGCTTCTTACCTTGATGTGAAAGGTAAGAAGATAATTCTCGAAGTGAAAGCACTTTAAAAATTTACAAAATATACATGAAAGTATACAATCTTAATATATTTCAAAGATATAGGGAAATAATCTTTTATTTTTATATTTTTTATCATTTATTTATTTTTTAGAGAAAGAGTCTCCCTTGTTGCCCTCAGTAGAGTGCCGTGGTGTCACAGCTCACAGCAATCTTCAGCTCTTGGGCTTATGCAATTCCTTTGCTTCAGCTTCCTGAGTAGAGTAGCTGGGACTACAGGTGCCCGTCACAATGCCTGGCTATTTTTTGTTGCAGTTTGGCCGGGGTTGGATTTGAACCTGCCACCCTCGGTATACAGGGCCAGTGCCCTACTCTCTGAGCCACAGGTGCCACCCTCTTTTGTTTTTTTAATTGATATGTATACTTATATGTATTTGGAAAAGAATATATGAAAAATGATTGACTTATACCATTCAAAGCCAGCTACTGCTAACATTTTGATGAATTGCCTATGCATATTTTTGTAAGACATGTAATATATACAGTATTTACATTGTACATACAATTTTGTACCTCACTTCTTTTTTTTTTAATATATGTTTTTTAAAAGTCTTGCTCTGACACCCACTCTGGAGTGGCATGATCATAGTTCACTGCAGCCTTGAATTGCTGGGTTCCAGTGATCCTCCCGCCCCAGCTTCCCTACTGTTTTTATGTTGCCCAGGCTTGTGAACTCTTGCCCTCAAGTGATCTTCCTGCCTCGGCCTCCCAGAGCCCTGGGATTACAGGCTTGAGCCATTGCACTTGGCCTCCACCCTTTCTTGTGTGTCTGTGAACACCTCTTCAGTGTCTGTCGGCCTCCCAGAGCCCTGGGATTACAGGCTTGAGCCATTGCACTTGGCCTCCACCCTTTCTTGTGTGTCTATGAACACCTCTTCAGTGTCTGCCAAGCACCATGTTTAGAAGTTCTCTGTTTACTCTTTTTTCCTCTACCATTAATTTCTCTCATTGATACTGCTGTCTTACTATCACTTCAGTCTCTGTACTACTCTTTATTACATTTAATATTACCTCCCTCTGCCTTCATCACTCTCCACTGTGTCATTGGGAGCAACAGTCTCCTAAACGTCTTTCAAGCTTCCCTTTACATTGCCAGCAGGAACTCTGATATTTTCAAATTACAAAACCAGTACCTACTTGTTATAACAAGTGAAGCAACGTAAGAATATGTAAGAAATGTGAGAGTATTTCTAAAACTGTAAATTTGATAATTTTACTATTTCCTTGCTTAAGGTACTCGAGGCTCCCTTCATAGCTCCATGCAGATAGGAAATTCTGTCTGTTCTTTTTACTACTATAACTCCAGCAAGTAGACCTGCCTAGCACATAATAGGTTTAACACTGACAAATCCACTAGATAATAAGTGAAAAGAGTGTGTGGCAGAATCATGCTAAGCTCATACTAAGGGCCGGAGCTCTGGGGAGAAGTAGGAAGAGGATCCCATTATTGGGACACAGTACACTTTGTTGCACACAGCTGCATCTTTCCTGCCCACAGACATCTTCCACATACATTTACTGCATCTAGTTTCTTCTCTTCTCCCCTTATCTGAGCCTAAAATAGTTGATGGAGGACCCACAAAGCCTCTCAGAACCCATTTTAATACCTAGATAATTTTCTCCTCCCGTGCCCAAATAATGAACAAATGGAAAACAACGGGTCTCTGAAAAAATTCAGTCTTTGAAGTAGAAAGAAATAAAGCTAAAGAATTAAAATCCTGCCTATACTCACAAAAACCCCACAAATTAATAGAGCCAGAATTCATTGTTATTTGCGAGAAGTAGAGTAGATGACCACAGTGGCAGGTCCTGGACAGTGTTTCGGGTTTTGCCTACTTTTCCAGCATAGCAAGCTGATAGCATATGTGATTGCAAATGATGGCTTTGAACAAATTTCACTTGGCCCAGACTTGACGTTTCTCTTGAAAAGTCAGAATCAGAATATTACTATGTATCTTACTTTTATTATTTCAGAAGTTCTCTTTACAGTTATACAATATTTATTAATCAGTAAAATAGTTTGATTAAAATATTCTGAAGTAAGTGGTAAAAAGTAAAAACTATGGTTTTTTAGAGAGATGATGAAAAGTCTGGGATCTGGATAGTAAGAGCTAATGTGAATTTTTTTTTATGACCCTGATAAGTCACTTTATTTTTAGGACTTAGTGGTTAAATGCCTCTTGTATAATAAAAGTAGTTGGAAAATATTGTAATTTTTTGTATTCAGCTGTATATAGTGACATGAACTAGAATCAATTTCAATAAAAAGTGAAAGTGATTTGCATTCCTTCTAAAGAGAATAAAAATAAGTGCCATACAAACATTCTGCTTTGCCTGCTTACCTAGAAAGTTCATGTTAACCTGCTTACCTAGAAAGTTCTTTTTTCTCATATTAACTGTAGAAATTAACTTTAGCCACACTCTGATTAACCACGGTATGAATTATGTTATCTATTCTCACCTGCCCCCTACCAACACTCTCTTGTTTTAAGTATTTATAACTCAATTACAAGTGACTCCAAAACTTCAAAGTAGTCTTGGCAAAGACAGCCTTTTTAAGAGAAAAAGTAAAAAAAAAAAATTGCCATTTATGAATAACACTGAAATCAGCTGTAATCTCATATTTTAAGCTCAATATTCACCATAGAAAGTTTCCATTAATAACACAAGGAACTATTTCTTGGTTACCTGTAAAATAAACTGAACTGAGAGATATTTTAAAACATTTTACCCTATTGAGATTTTCAGCAGCCCACGGTTACACTGATACTGTAGGAAGCTACACGCTCTTTTACATCTCCTCTTTCTAGTACCTGTGTCATCTTGAAAGTTGGCTTCAGAGAGATAATAAATTACCCTTCCTTTTTATAGTTGAATTTCTTAATACCTTTTTTTTTTTTTTTTTGACTAAATCATAGCTGTGTACATTAATGAAATCATGGGGTACAATGTGCTGGTTTTATATACAATTTGAAATGTTTTCATCAAACTGGTTAACATAGCCTTCCCAGCATTTTCTTAGTTATTGTGTTTAGACATTTATATTCTCTACCTAGTACATTTCACATGAATTTCTTAATACTTTTAACCAGAATAGCCCTCTAGGCCC